ATTATACTCTTAAGAAATATAAGAATAAGGACTGATTTGGGGAAGATAGGTTCAACTTTGCACTTCTGTTTTTGAGGCACTTGAGGAAGTTTTTGGATAGGCAGATGGATACCTAGGTATGAAGTCTAGGAGACAGTTCTGGGCTGGAAATGCACATTTAGAAGTTAAGAGTACCTAAAACATAAGTTCCACAAGATCAGAGATGCTTTCTGTTTTGTTCACTGCTAGATTCCTAGCACGGGAGCTCTGGTGGCATAGTGCCTAAGGCAGTTGACTGCTAACCAGAAGACTGGCAGTTCAAACCCACCAGCCACTTCTTGGAAGGAAGATTGGGCAATCTACTTCTAGTTATATCGCCTTGGGAACCCAAGGAGGTCTCGCTGTGAGTTAGATCTGACTCAACAGCAGTGAGTTTGGAGTTTATATTATAGCACATGGCACAGTATCTATGACATATGTATTTGAGGAATGAGTGAGTTTGTGAATGGACAAGGAAAATATATAGAGGGGGAAAAAAAGAGTTTTAGGGCACTTGACTGCTGACGAGAAGGCTGACAGTTCAAACCCATCAGCCACTCCTCGGAAGGAAGGTTGGACAATCTACTTCCATAGTGATACCGCCTTGGAAAACCAAGGAGGGGTCACTATGATTCAGGTCCAACTCAACAGCATATAACAACAAATATTTAAAGAGGTGTTTCGAGAAGAGAAGCCAGCTAAAGAAGCTGAGAAGCTTTTAGAGGGTTAGGTAGAGAACTAAAAAAGAGTATTACTGTGTTTTTTTTCCCTTTATAGTGGACATCACAGTTTGTGACCATATGTTTTTAATTTTGTGTGTTTGTCTTTCTCTACCACTGTAAGTTCTGTGAGGCAACAACCATGTCTGCTTTGTTTCACCGTTATAGAACAAGAACAATGTGTCTGATAGATGGTAAACCCATTGCTGTCAAGTCTGTTCCAACTCACAGTGACACTATAGACCGGAGCAGAACGAAATGCCTCATAGGGTTTCTAAGACTAGAATATTTAGGGTGCAAACTGCCACATCTTTCTCCTACGGAGTGGCTGGTGTGTTTGAACTACCAACCTTTCAGTTAACAGCCAAGCATTTAACCACTGCACCACCAGACCTCTGTCTGATATATAATAAACACTCAATATGCAGAATGAATGAATGTAATTCATAGAAGGAAACAGCTTCAGAAAGGAATATGTGG